ACACGACGTGAAGCAGATGTGATCATACGCGAAAGAGAAGTGGAAAATCGCGAGGATGACTGTCGGAAAACCGATCTTGAACAAAGACGTCGTTCGATGGAATTAAAAAGAAAGGAAGCAGAAGCAATTGAAATTCAAGAACAACATCAACTAAAAGAAGATGATATAAATACCCGACTGAAAGAATGCAAATTGTAAGTATCAAGTTTGCTAGATCCTGAAACAGTTCCGGTTTCTCTCTTTCTCTAAGGAATAGGGAAAGACTGGGGTAAAACAGAGCAAGCGCATAATGAACTAAACAGTATTTTGTGACGTATAAGGACGTTTTTAATAACACACAAGATATCACATAACGATTAAAAAAATGCGCACAGGTGTGTGCCATGAGTTCCAACTTTTGTTTTTGTCATTTTACCCCAGAATTAGCAACACAAATATTGCTTAAATTAGATTATAAAAACGACCAAAAAAAAATTTACCTAAATGTCTAAAATTTCAATTGACAACCATTTTGCAATCTGATTTGTTTGTGTTACTTTAAACAAAAAAAACTAGACTCAGTGATGGCACCAGGATCTGTCCGACAGGGGGCTAAAGGCCCCGACGGGGGGATAGGCGAGCGAATCGAGCCTCACTTGGCTGGGGGAAAGCCGCCTAGGGGTCACAGGGAGCCCAGGGGGCATGGCCCCCTAGAAGCTACGGATATTTGACGAACTTTGGTAAATTTTATAGTAGTTAATTAATAGGCATCAAGCTACCGTATGTTTTTTAATGTCGAAATTCCAAAACCGATTTGTTTTTTAATTTAAAAAATGAGAAACAAAGAGTATGTAACCAACTAACTTATTTTCAAATCCGTTTTTAAATTATAAAAAAAACCACCGTATTACACTACAATACTATCCTCCCATCATGGCGAAATCCAGGTTTTTCATAATCCATGTGATTCAACTTATTAACAACAAAATTACGAATACGAATAATGTCTTACTGTAATGGTAAGGCCACCAATTTGTGACAATATTATACTACGATGAATTAAAAAAACACAATGTCACCGGGAACGTCACAGTACAAGCTTTTAATTCAAAGTGAAGTTATAAAAATTTAAAATTTTGCCTGAAATCTGTAAACCACGAGGTTGCTCCCTGATCTAAATGTATTCTAAGCATCATGAGGATATCCAAACGAGCATTTGTCATAGTAGAACGTAAATCATTTTTAATTAGTTCCATTGAACAGGGGGCGGATCCAGAATTTTTGAAACTGGTGGAGTGCATTTGTATTTTTTTTTTATTTCAATACATAACATTAAAAAATAGTGTCAAAACGCTGTTTTGACACTTGACACTGTTCTGCTAACTTACGTCCCAATAGATGTTTAAACGTAATTAATTCATTGTGAAGAAGAATATATGTTGTTTCATGGGCTTAATTCAATGTAAAAAGTAATATATACGGTAGTCGGATAACTTACAATAAAACGGCACGTGAATTTATGTTATTACATTATTATTATTATTATTATTATTATTATTATTATTATTATTATTATTATTATTATTATTATTATTATTATTAATAATATTTTTGTACTTTATTTTTATTCCCCGACGGAATGTATTCGTCTTTCCCGACGGGGGGCTAGGCATCCCCGACGAGGGGGCTATAGATCCTCAGCCCCTCCCCCCCCCCACCACTGCTCACCAAGGCTTTCCTCACATTTACAAGAATTGGTGTTAAAATCGTTTAAAGTCAAAAAGCTTATTAAAAAAATATCAAAATATGAGACTCAATTCAGTTCAATTCAATAGGCCTATACGAATTACAAAATTGTAAAATACCATTTAGGCCTATTACAAATATTTATTTAGTTTTCCATTTATAGCATAACAAATAGGCCATATTATTAGCATATCAATATGCCGAATTGTTTCTATATTTTGTTTTACTTTCACGGGACCCCTGGACCCCCCGCTTGGACCCCTATCGGGGAATTTCCAGCAAGATCGTATGGGGAAAATGACCTCGATCGCCGAAAGTCAAATTTTAGGAATTAAAAACTTTTAGTGCGAGCAGTGCTACCGTATGTGTGAGGTATGTATATCGTATAGGCCTATACTATCGCGATCGTATGGGTTGCGATGGTAGCGTAAGATCTTCCCCGACAGGTGGGCTGGTACCTCTGACAGGTGGTTATGTACACCCCGCATAGGCCTCTTGACTTGCATGGTTTCTATAAAATTATCGTTTTTAAATAAAGAATACCATAATCAACACAGTTGTTCACGATAGGGGAAGGAGCCCTTGTCGGGGAGCTGGACCCCTTGTCAGATAATTCCTGGCGCCGCCCTGCATTAAAGTACACGTTATATCCTACCAAAATACACTTCACTGTATTATACATAAAAATAAACTGAAACATGTTTAGAATTTTCTGTTAATTATATAGGTTTATTTAAACACTAAATTTATCACAATTTAACTATATTTATATTACAGAAAGCAAATTGAAATTATGGCCCGCATGAAAGAGATAAAGCAAAAAGAGGAGAGTCTGGAAGACCAGCAAACAGATCAAACGCTAAAGGAAAAGCAACTGCGAGAGATGGAAAGTAGTATCTTACAAAGAGAGCGCGATACAAAAGCAACACTACATCAGCAGACTGAAGCACTCAGTAATGAGAAAGAACAACTGGAATTAGAAAGGCAACGTTGGTACAATGAGTGGCGCCAGAAAGAAAGCAAGATAAAAGAAACACAAGATCAATGGAATCAGAAGACAGACAAGGTTCATGAAATGGAAAGAAATTTGAAAGTAAAAGAAGAAGGCTTGAACAAGAAAATGGCCGAGTTAAGGAAAGCAGAAAACGAGATCGTACTGAAAAAAGATGAAATTGAGAGAAACGAAGAAAATCTTCACGAGGAACGCAATCGGTTACACACTAAAGAAAAACTGCTCACATCTCATGAAGAAGAGTTAGACATAAGAGAGAAAGATATAGGTTCTGTTGAACATGGCAGGCGGCGATTGGCGGATGATGTTGCACGTTTCGAATCAGAGCAAAAACAACGAGAGAAGGATTACATGTTAAGAATTGAAGAGCTTGATACTAAATTCGACGAATTAGAGAAACGAGAACATGTTCTGAGCAACGTACAAATGAAGCAGAGACAAAGAGAGTTACTGATACAGAAGAGGGAAAACTACGTACACGAGGAAGAACAAGAAACCCTGTTGAACATTAGCAAGGAGACTGTTACAAGAACGTCAAGCGATAGTGGATTGACAGCTACTGAAGAACCACTTATGTCTGAATACACAATTGTACAAAGAGGTGATGACCAGAATTCCCCACGACGTTTCCAGCCCTTTAATATAAAAATTTCGCCTGGTTTGACTATCTGGGGTCTGAAAACTATATTGGATAAAGAAGAAGGAATACCAACTCACTGGCAACGTTTTTATTACGGAGGAATTCAACTTGACGATACAACAACTCTTTCTGAAAGTTCAATTCCTTCTGAATCCTCAATATACCTAAGGTTAGATGTCCCAGAAGGTTCAACGACTATCATTCTGAAGACGGGACAAAGAACAAGAATGATCGACGTTGATTTAAATGAAACAGTTGCTGTCACAAAGGCACGAATATATAAATATGAGGGCGTACCCCCTCACCAGCAAATCCTGTTGCATCGGGATATCGTTATGGATGATGGTAATTTACTTCATGACTTCAATCTACACAAAAACTCTGCAATATCAATGAAATTAAATTACCGTATTTGGGTTCGTACTAAAACCAACACACTAATTCCACTTGAGGTAGACGAACTTTCGACAATCAGAAATGTTAAATTTCTCTTGAGGGAAGCGGCAGGTGTCTGTGTTGACTCCCAGAAACTAGGATTCAGAGGAAAGTTTCTTGATGACAGTCGCTCTCTTATCCACTATAAAATATGTGAAGGGAGTACGATCGATTTGACATGTTCTGTGATCATAGCTCAAAAACCAGCTGGTGAAAACCTGAAAATGGAGTTAGATCCATGCGTCACAGTTAGGCAGTTGAAAGAGGAAATAAGGAGGATAAAATCCATTCCAGTCATTAGACAGGCACTTGTAGTCCGTGATCAACATCTAAATGATAATGATATGGTCATGGATCATTTGAAAAAGGGATCAGTAATTAACCTTCACAGTGGTAATGTTATGATTGTGTCCTCATCAGGCAAGGTTATCTTGAGTGACGTCCAGCCATGGCATACCGTTATGAAAGTCAAAGAGATGATTGAACGTAAGACCGGGGTATCAGCACAAATGCAGCACTTGGAATATCAAGGCTCCCCATTGGTGTCTGGCAGCCTACGACTTTCTGACTTCGACATAAAAAATGGCAGTGTCCTACAAATGAAACCAATTGAGATTTCTTAATTATAAATGGCTTCTTGAAATATGTCGGTTGCTACTGTCGTAAATTGCTTTACGCATGATTTACGTTCATCACACTTTGCATCATATCGTCATTTACAGTACTGTACATGTTTATAGACAAATAAACAAAATCTGAGTACCTAAGTATTTACATTGAACCCCAGGAGACATGATGTGATGACAGAATGTGCATATTTTATTCTGAAAAAATCAACTATCAATGATTTATAAAAATACAATTGCATTAATTCTTTTTTTTTTTTTTTGTAATAATATTGCAATAATTATTACGGTACTGCTTTTGAATCAGTTTATATACAACACATGGAGCATGCCTTTCTACTTCACTATAGCCCTATTTAGAAATATAGATACTGATAAAAAGCTACATTTTATGGTCTTCATAATGTTTTTAAACACAACATCAGTAATATTCGCAATGTTATTGTCTGTATCAGTGGCGGTTCACAAGTGAATCAGCAGAAATGCCCTATAAGGAATGGTGTCGCTTGTAGTTCGTAATGGTAATCGAGCACTTATTCAGCAATTTATATGTATGTTTCAAAGTGCTACACAGCAACATTGATTCTATATGTCACTTCATCGTATTTTTTTTTTTGTTCTAAAATTACTATCAATGTGCCTTAAAGGGGACACCTCTACATACTTCCCAATAAGTTATTGAAAGTGGCATTCTCATTAATTTTTGTGTTAAGTGCATCTGATGATTAAAATGAATGTTGGAACAAACATTTGATCATTCCATAAAAAATTTGATGTTTTAATTAGCATTAAAAATAGTCTGTCATGTCATGCTTGTAAAAAAATATTGTACCAGTTATTTCAAGTTTTATATAACTACTGCAAGTCATATTTTTACAGATTATTTGCATTAAAGTAAATAATTTCAATTCATGTTTTATTGTTCAAAAAAGGATTCAGTGCGGAAACAATTCATAGCAAAAGAAGCATAAAATAAGAGAACATGTATATAGATTTGTTGAAAAAGAGACGAATTCTGTCCTGATGTCTTTGTGTTGCCGCTATGCAGCCACTGAATATCTATTTTCATTTGTTTTTCGAAGTGAAATATTGTATCTACCTAGACTTTATACAGTATACGAATACTGTATTATGTTTGAGAGACTTTGAAAATGGTGTAATCTGCCCCATGTGTCATGCCTGAATTACAGTATCCACAAGTAAACAATTTAAACTATTTTGATCAATAAGTAAGAAGGTTCCAGATTATTGATTTTGGCAAATGTTGATTTTCTGTGAGGACCAGTGAGTTTATATCTTGAAGTTTAATAGTTGGGCAACGTATTTTGAACTATGATAATACAAGAAGGTTCCTTTGTTTTGTGGTAAAAAAATACCAAAATGAACAGGAAGAATTTGGTGTTTGTGATAATCATCAATGTTAGTTGTAGTAATACTTATTAGAGTATCATGAGTATTATTGTATCTTTAATCATACAAATCTTTGTTTAGAACTCTTTAGATCAATAATTAAACCAAGCCCAATAGATGTAAATGTGAGCTTTCATCTGTTTATGTTTGTTGTTATTTGTCTGTTCTACATATTGGAAAATAAAATGCAGATCGAACACTGTGTAATATAAACCTTCATTTATTTTCACAACTTAGTTATTCTTCTAAAAATTCTCACAATTCCAGTTACATTAATAATACCCATTCTACTATTCATTTGGCCTATTTAAAATACTGAACCAATGTACATAAAGAAAATACGACTAACCAATGCATTTCTTCCCAATATTTAATTATGACTTGGGGACGGAAATACAGCATTACTAAAATAAGTAACATTGTCAGCAATATTTAATTTTTATAGAATTACAATTCTGTATTTTATTGAATTAAATTTAAATAATAATAATAATAATAATAAAAATATGCGTCAGGTCAGTGGTGGAAGTGGAATAAGTGGAATATCTTTTGTGTTATTTTCCCCTTAACATCATTTTATTTTCCCCTTAACGTCGTTTTTTTAATTGTTCTGTAATTTCTCCATTGTCTAAGTTCCCCTTAAGGTAGATTTTAGTAACATAATAATAATAATAATAATAATAATAATAATAATAATAATAATAATAATAATAATAATGATAATAATAATAATGTTAGACTTATATAGCACAAAATGCAAGATGCACTTAACATTTAAAATAAAAGGAAAGAAATGAAATAGACATAAAAAAAACCATGCATCCAAGATCGATTATATCACTATGGATGAGCTGAATCCCCTTGATGACAAGTAGCTGAAGGCAGGTCATTGAAAAGGTAAGGTCATTGGCTGTGGACTTTGCAGATATGACATGACAACAGCAGATATTGACAACCTTAATGAGGAAAAAAAATTGTTTGTGAGAACATTATTGTTGCGCTGAAACAAAGTGCTTCATATATTATTATACAGATAGAAAAATGAAAGTTCACAAACTCTGGCATGTGTACTGTACTTATCGTAGGCATTTGGGAGGATTGGTTAAACACCTAAAATGTTTATGGGGCACAGCCTGAAAGTTTGTGGAACGTTGCAGCAAATAAATAAAAGAAAGTCCAAGTTGTAGTATTTTGAATATGTTGAAAACATTGATTCAATATGTTACTTCATTGTAACCTGTGACTTATAGAGTATTCTTATAGCTTACTTCAGCCCCACTTTGAGGACGTATATTAGTAGCTAGAAATATATTAAGACATATGAATACATTATACATACATGAAACTGCTAAATGTTTGTTTGCCATCTTCTGTGACTCTGGAATTTGCAAAACTGATAAAAGAACAAAATACAGCTACCCAGGCACACCACTTCATCTACAAGAAAAAATTTTAAATCATTTGTAAAAGAATGTCCAAAATTGAATCTCTCTTTCCTCTCTCTCTCTGAGGAGGGTATCCCATTGCCTAAAATTTGCTAAAGGCGGCAGATTTAGTTGAACTAAATTGTTGAAACGTACAAAACTAAGAACATTTCATCCCAGTTCCGGGAAAGTTTGGACCCCTGTATTACAACTTGGCCAAGATTAGTTGTAAATGAGTTTGTTCTTTCTGAACAAAGTGTTATAATTATATGAAAAATACACAGATGCTATTTTGTTTGATAGCTTTTATAAGCAAAATGTTTTATCTCAAAATGTATTATGGTATTATGATATATTTTGAACAATTCCAAGTTGGTGCCTACCACTCTCCTCGTTAACAATAAATATTAAGCATAATAAGCTGCTTAGATTATATTATGCAGCTGCCATTCAGAAACAGCATTCATTGTGTAACCAGGGATTTCTTAAAGATGTTGAATCATTTCTATGATTTTTTTTTTTGTTCTTTATTTTAAAAAATTGTTTACCTTTAACATCAGACCACACATACTGAATATCATACCAAGTAAATTCATATAGTCAGCCATAGGATCATCTGGTGGGGCATTGCTTTCAACCACTGGGGCCTTGTATCTTTAAAATACAGAAAATAATTTTAATTATTTACAGCAAGTACACATTTGAAAATTTAAAAAATATTGAAAAAAGCTATAGGATAAGTGAAAGAATTTAGCAAACAAGTCAAGGTGAATGAAAATTTCAGTATTTTGTTTCTCAGTGGCCTAGCACTCACTGATAAGTGGCTAGGCTTAGGTTAGACTTCCTAGCTCACTTGACGTAGCTATTTTACGATCTCTACACTGTAAGTCAAAATAGAAGGCCTCAGGCTCTGCTGTTTAATTACATTACAATATTATGATTCAGTTAATTTTTACTAAATAGAGGTAACTTCATGTTTCAGTTTTATTTCAACCCTTACTCGCGATGTTTTTGTTTTTGACTTGGAAAAATATTAATGACCATTCATTTCATAGTGTGTAGTTGTTCTAACGCTAGGCAGTTGGGATTTGGGTTCCGGTGTCGGATCAATGGATCAATAACCACGGCGAAAAAGTAACACATTCGACAAATTTAAAAATTTAAGCGCATTCTCTAAGTTCAGTATAATTAATAACATAAATTAAACGTTCAACCAAATATCAAAGCTTTCATTATTCAAACGGCGGTCCATACATTTTGGCCTTCTACGGGGCGCGGCCGAGACTATTCGTGACCGCGCTAACCATCGTAGGCTAGGCCTGCCCTCCCCCAGCTAGGCCTAGTAGTAGTAGGCTAGCCTAGTACTAGACTACTACTAGTACTAGGCCTAGTATACTACAGTTACTACTAGCCTAGGCACTAGCTAGGCCCGCAAATGGCAGTACATTACTATTATTAGGCTAAGTCTGAGTTGTACTAACATCTAGGCCTAGGTTAATTCAGCTTACCGTTTTGCTTTACTTGGTTTCCGTACGTCTGCAACATTATTTGAAGACATGCTAAACGTAGGCCTAGCCTTAGTTAGGAGAGAAGAGGGTGGGTGGGGGACTCGACTCGATAAATCTATCTTACCGTCTCCCTCTGGTGGCGGCGTGAACTGCTGTGGAGAAAACAATGTACCAACGCAAACATACAAACCTATCACGGGACCGTCTTTTTCTCCTTTATTGCTTTTAAGCAGTTGGGGTTTATGCTACAAAGTAGTTACTTTTTTGAATATTTAAGATGTCTGTGGGGTACGCAATGTATAGTTCATCCGCAATAATAACAGCGGTATTGATTGGTATATGTAAGTAAAATATTAAATGTACAATAAAATAAGAAGTAAGTGTTCAATTCGAAGTCAACGGCAATCCTAGCCTAGGCTGGGCCCTAGGCCTATCCTGGGTCCCTACTACTACTCTATAGCCATGCCCAGTGCATGGTCTAGGCTAGGCCTACCCAGGCATCTTAGGCCTTACCTAACCTAAGCTGAGTGAATCTGGCTAAGTGAGGCGTAGGGCCTAAACCTACCCATACTGTTGTAAAGTATTTAAAGTGCATAGATGTTTTATCAAAAACAATATATTAACTCACGATGTTTGTGCAGGAAAATAGGTCTGCACCCAGGCCTACCGGCCTACATAGGCTAGATTTAATAAATAATATTCAGGTCAAGGACTAATTGTCCTGATACTGATAGTCTTTTACAGGAGTAGTTAAAGCATTCATTTAGTAGTAATGATAGTGCTTGCACTCATGGCAATCCTCAGGATATTGTATTCTCTTTTTGAGTTCCTATGCAATAGGAGCTCTTGTATTCACTTTTTTGCATGTGTATGTGTGTGGACATTAAGTGAAACTGCGCATACGTCAGGAAAAAATTTCCGAAATTTTGTTTTAGCATCGCGATGTTAAATAAATTCTTCACTTTAGCTATTTGGCAAAGGCCTAAAATAGAAAAACCTGTAAATACTTTCTATAATACATCGTTTTCCCCCAGTTTTTTTTTTCATTTGAACTCCATTTTTCGCCAACTCCATGTGACGTTTATGTGTTGTTTTATGAGTAGTCTTGCTGCAAATGTCATTGCGTGCCTCGCAAGTTATTTTTTATTTTTAATTACCATAGTTCCTCGGGTATAGTCCCACCTTAGGTATAATCCCACACCCGACTTTCCACCCAACTCCGCGTATAGGCATTTTCCTGGGCAAAGTTCCAGGGTATAATTTAGGTGAGTAGGCCTACTGTAGGTCAGCAAATTTAACAAATGCTCACAAAATATAAAGGAGTTGGCTCCGAATTTGGCAGACCTGAAACTCTTCCAATTGACTAGACCAGACATTGGTCGCCGTAAAGTTGAATACAAAGCCCATTCTTGTTGATTACTGTCGCTAAAATAAACAAGCTCGCTAACCGGCTGAAAATAGGCAACACCGCGATCTGTTCCTAAAGAGACACGCCCAGTAGGCTGATCGGATCATTAATTCGCAGCGTGAAGACTCGCATGTTCCACAGCTGCGGCTAAAAATATTTTTTTTTGTCCTTGATTTTAAAATTGCTTACATTTAGCATCAGACCACACAATACTGAATATCTTACCAAGTAAATTCATATAGTCACCCATAAGATCATCTGGTGGGGTATTGCTTTCAACCTCCGGGGCCTTGTATCTTTAAAATACAGAAAATTATTTAGTACTTATTTAAGTATACATTTGAATATAAAAAATATTGAAAAAAAAGCTATAGGATGAGTGAAAGAATTTAGCAATGAAAATAGACAACACCGCGGTACGTCCCTAAAGAGATCCACCTAGTGGGCTGATCGGATTGTTAATTTACAGCATGAAGACTCCACAGAGAGACTCTTGCTGCTAAAAATAACTTGTTACATCATACATTACAAGTGGGCAGTCTTCACGTGTTAGGTGATTGGTTGGATTGGTTGTTGCTGGGTAAAAAATAACCTAGGATATCAAGACAGTTGAGGCAAAGGCTGGCCTAGCTTGAGGTAAAACCAAGATATTGCCTCTCTAGCTAGGCACTTAGGCCTACTAATTAGGGTGTTTCCTTCCCTTTGATGTTCGAGTAAACTTTGATTTCTTCACCGGAACATGGTTTTGGAGATGCCATCGAATTTTAGGACAGTTGTTGCTTTTGCCACTTCCCAAAATGATCGTCTTTTTTGTTCTGTTCATGCGCACGGGAATCCCCGGGTATAATCCCACCTCCCTGGGGAACTATGGGTATTATTATTTTTTAATTTTTATTTTAATCTTATTTCATTTCACCCCCAACAGCGAAAACGCCAATAACAGGGAGCATATGTGGCAAAGACAAGCCAAACCAGTCACTCGTCGCAAATCGTGTTTCAGAGAAAATGGCCAAAACATGCTAAAATGTCAAATTTTAAAAAATCTATTTTATTGAACTAAACTAACCTTTATATACCTACACACCATCCTGTGCTGTTATTTTCCCCATTTTCAATGTTAAAACAACACTTTTTAAGGATTTAACGATAGTTTCTGCATGAGAAATGCCTGAAATCATAAACTTTAAAGGCTGATTTCTCATATATTGTTCTTTAAACAGCTCTGTGGTTAAACGCTTGTAACTTCATAAGGAAATGTACGATTTGAATGATTTTTTTACCATTTTATAGCTATTATTTTACTCTCTAACACCGTATTAATAACACAAAATCGATTTTTGCGACGAGTGACTGGTTTGGCTTGTCTTTGCCACATATAATGTAAATACAATATAAAATTACAGCGAGAGAATCGATAAAATCACAAAGAAACATTCAAAAATATTATAAGCAGTATAAAAATATGTGCATACAGTTAAAATAATTTACAATAGTTTCTATTATATACAAGGAACATTATAAGAAAGTTCAATTAAATTCAGTTCCAGAGCAGGTGAATGATCAAATGGCAAGTTTAACTTGAGCTGAAAATAAATGTCAATTGAAGGCTCATTGTTTGTAACAGAATTATAGAAAGAGGAAAGTCTACTGATAAAATCATTTTTAGTTGCGTTAACTCTACATTTTGGAACAAAAAAAAAGATCTTGCCTACGCATATTGGGACGGGGAACGTTCAAAGAAAAATATGGGAACAAATTACACGAGAATGAGGAATTAACACACCTATAGAGAAAAATGATCAAATAACTGCCTCACCTCGGGAAACTGCCTCACCTCCTCAATTATTTATAAAGCTACAATCACAACAAACGAAGAATTGAAGGATTACATCGGGCTCACAGATACCGCGTTTAAAACCCGATATACAAATCATAAGCATATATTCAATGCACCAAAACACAGAAACAGCACAGAACTTTCAAAGCTCATATGGAAACTTAAAGACAGCAAAACACAATACAATATCAAATGGTCCATTATTGATAGAGCATCATCCTACTCACCTAAAACAAAGCGATGCAACCTATGCAACACAGACAAGTTTCATATAACTTATGCAGACAAACAATCTACTTTGAACAAAAGGCACGAACTCCTTTCAAAATGCAGACACCGTGCCAAATTCCTACTCAAAAACACATAATACCTAATTTGCATCTACACCAGCCCAATTCTACATATACACATCAAATTTGAAATTCCCTTCACTTCTGAAGATTGCCTAGTGCATGAAACAGCCTGTAGAGTGAAATTACAAGTTCCCTGTTACAAGTATTATACTATTATTATTATTATACCGCTCTGCATAGCATCAAGCACTATACGTTGCCTGAACTGACAACTTTATATTTATAT